TGTACTTTGTCAAATGCTTTTTCTGCATCTATTGAGAGGATCATATGATTCTTGCTCTTTCTTTTGTTAATGTGTTGTATCACATTGATTGATTTGTGGATGTTGAACCAGCCTTGCAGCTACAGGGCCACTTTTAAATCTACTTTTTTTCTTTTAAGCTGTATGAAACTGTCAAGGAAAAAACATGGTTTTAGTTAAGGATAACCTTAATATGAACACAACAGTTGATCATTTACTATGAAACATATATTATTCTAGGTTGCATTAATAAAGGTATAGTGTGTAGTTGAAGGGAGGTGATGGTGGTGAACTCTGCATATGTACGCTGTAGTGGTCAGACCACAGTTGGCATTTGTTCTGGGAGTTACTCTTCATAAGGAATGTTAGTAAAATAGAAAATATTTATAGAAAATGGTGAGGGATCTAAAACCATGCCATATGAGAAATATTTGAGGTGATCTGAGATGTTTAGATGGAGAAGGAAAGACTTGGAGGGAGAAGAAGCTCAGAGATAATCACTGTCTTTAAAAATCTGAATGTTGTCAGGGCGCCTGGGTTGCTCAGTTAGTTAAGCATCTGCCTTTGGCTCAGGTCACGATCCTGGGGTGCTGGGATCGAGCCCTCATCGGGTTCCCTGCTCAGCGGGAAGTTTGCTTCTCCTCTCCCTCTGCCCCACCACTCCACTCATGCTTTCTTTCCCTCTCTCAAATAAATAAATAAAATCTTTAAAAAAATTAAAAAAAATCCAAACGTTGTCATTTGAATGGCAGAACAGATTTATCTTGGTCCTCTCCCTGAGGGCAGAGGTCAAGTTGAATAAAGACAGACTAGGGGCTCAGTAAGAGGGAGGAAACAATTCACAATGAAGACTGTGTCAACATGGATTAAGTTGCCTCAACCTGGACTACATTTCCCGGCAGAGCAGTGAGTCCCTTCCTGACAGTGTTTGAGAAGAGGCTGGGTGATAGTCTTCGGGGCGTGAGAGTGAGAACTCCTGCCCTGGGGAGGACTTGGGGTGAAGTGACCTCCAGGGTTCCTCTATTGCTACTATACTTCTATGATTTCATGCTGGAAGGAGGGGTGAAGAACTCCGCCCCCGAGGTTTGTTTATATCCAAGGGCTCAGCACACTTGTTAAAATGTCATTGCTGTCTGCATCACGTGTCCCATTCGGGAGATGCGATCGGGCCCCTGGGGACCCCGAGAGAGCCTGGGAACTTCACCGCTCCCTTGTCTAATGTATTCCTTTCTTCACATAAAGTGCATTTGACACCTCAAAGACAATGGCTGAACTGAGTTTTCGAAAAATGAGTAGACAATGAAGCAGTCAGAGGACACCCGTCACTCACAGAAAGTTCTAGGGCACCTCTATAGCATGCTATGACTGGGAGGGACGGCAGAGGTCATTCACTTTAACGTCCTACCCCATTCAGGAGTCCCTGCTATTTGTATGACTTGTATGTATCCAGGCTGTTCCACTGATTAAGTTGTATAAAAGGAGTTACTGATGTGATGTTGACACCTGCTTCCCTTAACTTCCAGATTTGGACCTGGTCAGTTCTCTGGAACAGCATAGGAGAAGGATCCTCTCTCATTGGCAGTGAGGATCTAAGGATGCCATGTCTCCACCTGGACTTGTCCTCTCTGTGTTAAATGTCACCAGTTCCTTCAGCTCCTGCCAGAGTGCAAGTCTGAGCCTTGCCTTCCATGTGTCCCCACGGGAGAAGACTATGTGCAGAGAGGAAGCCAGGGATTGGGCATAAGCAGTGACTGCAACCTAATTCCAAGTGGGGGAGGGTAAGAATTTAGGGAATGTGTTGGGCGGGGGGAGAGGTGGAGAAGTGGAAATGTGGCCCAAGAGTGAGAATTGGACCAGACTGGCACCAACAAAAAAATGACCTGAAACCCAGGCCAGCCACAGCCACAGATGGGATCTTGTCCCCTCTCTGAGCAATATGACCTTTATTGTCTACACGGGCAGAGTAAAGAAGATGGGGGTCCAGGGGTGGTGCTGGGCTGAGGTTCCAGTCTATGTCCAACACCGCTGAATTGAATTGTAAAGAAGCAGAGCAGGAACAGCCAATGCCACCGTGGTGCCTGGGTCCTGGGGATCTGGCATAGGCGCCTTCCACCACCAGCCTCTTCTGGGCCTCCTTCCGGCTGAGACCGGATGGGGACTTGCTCCTTCGGAGGACACACTGGGCTGCATTCCTCCTTGGGAAAACTGTCTCCCAATGAGGCTCCCGACAGCTTGTCTTCCTGACCATGGGCCTCCCCAACAAGAGGTCTCCTCACCTACGTGCCTCCCACCCTCACGCCTCACCCCCGTAGTTGTTCAGTCTCGTATGGCATGATTTCTCCTGCTCCCAGTGGAATGACAGACCAGGGTCCCTTCTCCAAACCTTGGGGAAGCAGGGTTAGATTCTCCACGGCCCCCAGCCTGGGAAGAGCTGCTCGTGTAAATAAAGAGGGGGATTTGCCCCAGGACTGCCGGTTCTATAGACTCCACAAACAGAAATACCTACTCCCAGAACAATGAGCCATCCTGAGGGGACCGCAGGTGGGTCTTTATAATGCTCATATTGAAAGAGGCAGGTTTAATGTGTGTATGGATGTTCAGTTTGGGTGACTCGGCTAATGTTGCCACCACATGGCGATTTTTGTTTCTGAGATGTTCCCAAACAAGCATCTAAAAATAGCCTTATAGCTGATACCTAATTGCATTTTCTAACAGAGTCATTCTTCATGTGAAGATAACGGTCTCTGCAATCGGCTGGATCTTGCAGTTCCACAGGTTTTGGCAAAAGAAAGAGTTGAGAGGGAAAGCAGAATTCACTCAGCATGCGGCTTGCTGTCATTAGCATGGTGATAAATTTGCTGGTTTTGGCCTGGGTTCCTGGACACATCCCCATCCTGAGGTATGGAAAAGAGATGAAACGGAAACAGAGAACTCCCAGCCTGAGGCAAGAGATGGTCAGGGAGGGCAGCCGGTGCACAGAGGGATGGGGGAGGCTCCGCTTGTAGGTGAATGGTGGTAATTAGTAATTCTGTCTCCAGTAACTTACAACAGTGCATGCCAGAAACACCTTCTCTCCCTTTCTGATTCATTGATTGCCAGAATGGGGGTGTTAGTAGGGGGCGCAGGGGTACTTGGAACCCACAACCACCCCTGAGGAGCTCCAGCGGAGAAGCATGACCTTCCTAACCGCCACATGCGGGGTGGTGTGGTATAGAGTTTTTCTGTACCAAGTAGTTCATATGAAAAATATTATCATCATGCAGAAGCAACACTTATTTTTTTACAATGATAGTCTTTTGGATACAACAATTTTCTTTAAGCTTCACATTTTATTTTGCATGCCTGGCAGTTTGGAGTTGTTGACCAAGGGAAAGCTGCTTAGCTGATCCAGAGCAGAGTGCTTCACTTTTGACGCTGCGCCCTCCCCCCACAAGATTATGGCCATCTGTGGGCTGCTTGCGCAACTTCTGTGATGCGGTGCCTTACTGAGGATGCTGACATCACTACCAGGGAGTAAATATTTCTCGCTCATGCACTGTATGTTGAGCACCATGTTAAGTGCTAGGCTAGAATATACAGACTAGTTAAGAAGTCTCTTCTAGTTCAAGAAAGCTAGCCTGATACAGAGGACCACAAACAGGGTGCCAGCATATTCTTCCTTTTAAGAGCTGGACCCATGACAGACCTTGCTCTTCCCTCATGGATGATTTGTATTCCTGTTGAGCCTGGGTTGGGCTCTTCAACACAGCACGTTGGGCAGCTATAACCATTCATTGGGGGTTGACCTCAAGATGAAGCAAGCCTCTTTGCCATTTTGGTTAAACTAGAAGATAATTGCAGACTTGTAGGTCTACAGATTTTAAGTTCAAATCCCAACTCTGCTACTTCTAGTAGGGCAGGTTACTTAACATCTCTGAGCCTCCATTTTATCCTTTGAAAAATGGGTCATAGTAAAATAACTGGGATAATATCCATTTTACCATCTCTCAAGACGTTTGGGAGGATAAGAGATAACATGTCAACATATGTGATACACCAGACTAGTTTTAGGCATGAAGGCACTTTCAGACCTATGGAAAGGATACTATATTCAGAAGATGACAGGTCTGAAGGGCGAGTGGTTAAATGTCAAATCTATGGTAGACTTAAGCTTAGAGGAGGAAAGGTGGGTAAGCGGCATTAGGAAAGGCATCATCACTAATGGTGAGCCTTGGGTGGATTCTGAAGGGAGCAGAGGTGTTAAGGTGAGGGTGGGGAAGACACTGCAGTCAATGATGATGGTGGGGGCAACAATGGTGGACAAGGCCAGGCATATACTGGTTTGGGGTGGGGGTTGGAAGGGAGGGCTTGAATGGAGGAGTAGGGCTGGGGGAAGACTAGAGTCTAGGGTCCAAGGTCATTACTAAGGGCTCTGGACCCCAGTGAAAATCTGTTCTTCTATTTGACTCTACTACTATAGCATCTCAGTAAAATCAAATTAAAGTAAACTTCAGTAGCAGGATTGGGGTGTGGGGAGAGGACACAGAATTGTATCGCCTGCCAGAGGGGCCTCTTTGAAGGGAAAGTCTAGTTAGTGGGTCTGAATTCAGAGTGTGGATTTCAGCTGTGATGTGGGATGCCAGTTTCTTTGTACTCTAACACAGAGGACTGTGATTACTGAAAGGTTAGACTCCCCAAAGACCATTTGTAAGGGTATTTGTAAAATTAATGGGCCCAGCATAAATTATGTGTGTAATGCTTAGATGAATTTCCAACAAACAGGAGTATGTAAATCCTTTGAAGTCTTAAAATCAGGCATATTCATCTCCTTGCTAATATCTCTTTGATCAGGTTGTATCTAAACTTGTTTGGATAATTTGAAAATCGATTGAGGCAGGACCTACCTCTTCCCACCATAGCA